TAGGCAGGTTTACTCTCAGTATCAAACTAACAATCTAGTGGGTTTTCATCATATGAGTCAATATGGCTTGGTTCCAAGAAGTACAAGTTCCAAAAAGTTAACTGAAGTCATCATCATATATAGATAAGTTATCAATGAATTAATGATTTATAAGTTAATTATTATATTATAAACTAATGAATTAATGGTTATTTTAGTTGAAGCAAATTCTCTTATGCTGTCATAGTATATTGAAAATGATTCTAAATGTGGAAAATATCATCAATTCTGGCTTATTTGTCTCTGTAAATATACAATAAATTTGCATGCTTTTTAGCTAAGCGAAATCACCCCATCAAAATTCCCCTTCTGAGAAACTTTAGTGATAAGCATCTCATTTGGCATCTGTTGTTGCCTACTCTGATAAGGCAAAATTCTTGGGTCCTTGTATATTTAATTTCCTACTCTATCCAGTAATCAGTAAGTTTTTTTTTTTTCAGGTACTTGATTAATATTTATGAACAAAACTGAAGATAAAATAACCTTGATGTAAACCTGGTTGCCAGGGAACTGTGCTATATACATTGCCAAAAGTTGATGATTCATAGGTTCTGATTCTTTCCATTTTAGCTGTCTGTATTTTATTATGAGATACACATGTCTTTTGTTGACATTTTATACCCCTTATACAATGTTAACTTTCCAAAATTGTCGATGAAGTGCTGAAGTTGCATATATGATATATTTGTTTACAACTTACTGCTTACTGCCTGAATAGGGATGCTTGTCGAGCTTGTTGACTTTTGACTCCCATTTTATTTTCTTTACTTAGTTGAGTAAGAAGTTGCATATCGTTTTTGTTTACCTGTACCTGGCAGGGTTTTTTTGTTGCTTATAATATTGAATTTTGTTCTGTTTTTGTTATATTGATTGGATTATTAAAAGGCATCAATTTCCATGTATGCAGGTGTCAGTTTTGATATTTGATAGTCTAGACTGTTGGGCACATCGGTCAGATATATACAGCGGTCACCATGGTCTCATTGCTTGACCACATACTCCCCAAGTTGTGCCTTTGTCAGCTCTCAACAAGTCCAAGGTAAGAAATAAGGAAAAGTCAAAAAATGACATTTTTCAGCTAAAACAAATTTTTTACAAATGCCTTTTCAAATTCCCTTGTCATTTTTTGTAGTAGAAAAAAGTATTTCAAGGTAACTGGTCTATTTGGAGGACGCACATGCACTAAAAATGGACACCAGTTTTTAGAAAGGTCATTCGTCACTCAGTTTGGAAGGACAACAATTAAATGACATGTTTTAAATTCTGAGAGGCCAAAGTGGTACAGCCAAACTGTGTTTTACACCGCTGTATTTGTAAAGGAAATCTCGTTACACAAGTCAACATGGAGAGCGAGCTTCCACTGAGATAACTTGTGGTCACGTTCACACTTGTATCTCAAAGTCAGTTTGGCCCCATACTGAAGACAATGTTAGGCATGTTGATTCAATGTATCTTACTGGGTTCAAAGTCTGTAGTAAAGCAATCAGACTTGTTTCTGATGACAATTTTTCTGATTTTTTTTACTTTTCACTGGTCAAAGTTGATTGCAAGATTCGTGATGTGACACTGAATTTTTAGCTGGTAGCTTAGCAATCTGTTGAGGCTTATTTGAATTTTGCAAAACAAGATTTGTTGCATGGGGTTCATTATTCCATGGCCCTAGGGCCTCATTTGTTATAGAACTTCAAATAAAAGATTGTCTATATGTTCACCCAAGATAAGTCAAATAAAATATTGCACCCATGTTATAGCAAGAGAAAAATGGCTACTTTATTTTAATCGACTAATGATTTGTGGTGTAACAGTTGAGACCAACTTTCAGTCCAAAACTTTTGTGAAATGTGGGCTCCGACTTAGAATTTGGGGAACCCAGGTGTGATTGAGATGGTTTTGATAGGGATTTCAGGTAACAAGCCCAGACCTGAAGACCTGGTTTTGTTTGTTTTACTGTTTATAAAGGGTGGCAGGTAAAACAGGGCTGAATCACTGCCTGGCTGTGGTCAAAGTCAGCTACAGTAAGTTAAGGTTTATCCATGTTTGAGGGATCCTGGGGCAGGTGTTCAGCCCTGATCAAGTATAGTAATGTCGAATCTTGTTTAAGTTATAGTTATTGCATGTGAAGTACAGGTATCCATTTTTAGGACCCTGCAGCAGAAATTGAGTCTTTTATTATTTAATTACATATAAGACTTTGTGAAAAACAAGTGCTTGCCATGCAAGTGGAATACAAAATTTGACATGTCCTTTTCTGGGGCTTTGAGACACTGCTCCTGGCCCCATGTTTGAATTGAAGTGTGCAGGATCATTTTATCCATGTTCTGGTCCTATAGTGGATAATGGGGCCATGTGAACCATGGATAGTTAAGTTTACAATGTAGATTTAAGTAGATCTGTCTGGGCAGGGACCTGCAGTGGATGGCAGGTAGAAGTATCTGACAGGTGAGTCTGAGAGGATGGCTTTCTCCTCGTAGGGTTTTGAGGGCCCTTTACACACCTTGTGGTATACTTAAACAGTGCAGTCTTTACCAGTTCTGCTGTAATTAATCCTTTTAGCAAGTGCTCCACAATTTGGTTTATTGCTGTTTTGCTAAGTTAATTAATTGGCCATATCAAGCTTGGAGACCCCGTCTAGGTGAATATCTCAATGATAGCGAGATAATTTGGTTGCTATTCTCTCAGAGTGCATCAGTACAGAGCGTATAGTGCATTAACCACTAGATGTGAGAAGATCTTAATTGGCTGACAGATTTTTTAAAAAATCAAATATGTGTAAAAAAAATTGAAATTAGTTGTTGCCTTTGGAACATATGAACTGGAAGACTAACCAGGTTGTCTTTTTCTAAGGCATATAGTATTAGCTTTATAATTCACTATCAAATTCACGCTCATCTCTGCTGGTAATCATTAATAAATACATCACCAAGTCAAACAGTACAGTGTTGCAGGTTTGTCTCCTCCATTGTCCAGTCACTGACCAGAGACAAGGTAGAAATGCCCAGTAGCCACGTGGGACCACATGTCATGCAAGTTTCTCACTATTGATTTGTGTTCTACATAAAGCCAGGTTATCCGATTGATGTTATTAATGTTTGAGCATTTTCCCTAACAAAATTATCCTAAGTATGTTTTATGTTTCCCCAAAAGGCAGTTATAAGATTATTTCAAGGGACCCTCATTAATCATTGATACAAACAACTGCAGGGTTCTGTCGGAGGTTTCCCCATTTAACAGTATTGAAAAAAGTCCATTTGCTTATTAGTTTAGCTTGTGGTCATGCCATTGACCGGGTCATCCACCAGGTAAGTTGTCATTAATAAGGGGTTTGTAACTGGATGTTTGTTTTATGCCAGCAGGTATTCCATTTTACATTGCATTGATATATATTTGGCATATCATAAGAAATTTAACAGGATTTCATCATCCAGTGAAGGCCATTTGACAAACATTCTCATTTCTGTGACATGGTGTTAAGGATATTTTCAGGTGCTTTTTATATGTTATCAGGCTGTTGGTTTAGAGTAAGTACCTTTTGATGAAGTTTATGATTGATCCAGATTGAAAAGAATTCTCAAGCTTAGGTAAAAGTGTTGTGCTGTGTTTTGATAAAAAAAAAGTCATTTCAGTTGCTTGTCTTTAGCACAAATGATGAACTTTACAGAATGTTAGTGAACACTAGTGAATGTTAGCAGTAGCATAAAAATTTAAAGCCTCTGACTGAATTCATGATTTAAAATGGGAAATTTGGAACATGATTAACATGACCCTTATAAGTATAGTTTACTATAATTTTTATTATATTTTTAACTATTTATTTATTTATTTTTGTCTGGTGAATGTGGTATTTTAAAATTTTGCTGCATAAGTTGTAAACAATTGCAAATTCATGATTGCTTACCTAGGCTCATAATATGGGGAAATTGCAGTGAGTACAAACAGATAAAACAGAATTTAAAACAACACCCAGTCAAAATCACCTTTTGCTGGAAGCATTTTTCACTAATAAATCACTGCCTTTACCTATAAGTCAAGATAACTGTGTATAAGACATGATAAGTACTGTTTTTGAATACCATCATGGAAGAATTCTTAGACAAGCCCCAGCATGAAGCAGTGAGAAGACCTGTTGCATTGCAGAGTAAACACGGGTCTTGAAATAGGATTACTCTCAATTCGTAATGACAGAGAATATGCAAACATGATTTATTAAGGCTTCAGCCTTGGCGCGCTAAGATACCATCGATTGCAGTTTCCTACCCTGGCTGCTGTATTTCAAGTAGCATGTATAAAAAAATATTGCATAAAGAGACATATATGTGCACATGCTGTTTGTGTGAGAGTTGGAGGATATGGTGCATGTTGAGTACATGTGTCTTGAAGTAAAATGAAAAAAGTAATTTTAATATGCATTATGTATGAATAGAAAGATATTTTTAATGAATGTATGTAAATTACACGCTTAAAGTAAAATATATGTATTAGTATTCAGGAGAACAAAAAGTCTCATAAATTTTAGTAGGAAATAAATGCACATGTAGTATATAGGTTATAAGAGTAGTTTTTAATTTATGTGAAAGAGGAAGACATGAGTGGCAGATCTCTCTCTCTCTCTCTCTCTCTCTCTCTCTCTCTCTCTCTCTCTGGATAGCAAAAATAGATATATACTAGTGGCAAATAAATACTATAGATTTACACTCTAAACTTTTTTTAAAAAAAATAGCTGTTATGATAACTGGTTTGCTTTATGGTTGAATGATTTGCAAATATCAGGATATCGAACAGATCCAGGGTTGAATTTTGCTTGAACTGGGAATTCACTTCAGAAAATGATTTTTTTTTCTCTCAGTGTTTCAGGCTAAAAAGAAAAAACAACAAGTATTCCCTCAGGCTTTTCTACTTGTCGAATCCTTGTTCATGAAATTTTCAAGACCATTTGTATAATAGTATATATACATTTTTTCCAGGAAATTTCCCAGCAATAAGCGACGATCTGGTGAACTCGTACCACTTGCTCCTGTGTTGCGTAGACTGGTTCTTTGGTAACGCCTTATTAGCAAATCGCCAGGATCTGCTCAGAGGTGATTTTGCAGGTGAGTCATAGACACATAGGCAGATACTCTAGTTTTTTTGCAAATATTAAAAAAAATTAATAAGGCCTGTTTGAATTCTGTGAATCATTGCATCAGATATGAAATGTGTTTTCTGAGTTGGCATAGTTAATCAAAATATCTTTCAATTGGTAACTTTTCTGTTTATATTACAGCAGTTGCATTGGTACCCACAGGTAAAGCATTGTGAAAAACTACTGTCCACCCCCCACCCCCACCCCTGAGTTCAGAGATGCCTTCATACTTCCCTATAAGCCATAAGTGAGTTTGCTGGAACCTCTGAAACTCAGGGGTTCTTGATCTGCTCCTTGTCACAGGGCACCTGGTAAGAGTGTGTTTGGATGGCAGGAAATCTCAATGAATCAGAACTACAGAAGTTCAGTGTTCCAAGTTAAGTAGCAGCCTATTGCAGAAGACGTCTCAATGAAAGCAAAAACCTGCCAAATAATCCAAACAGCAGCTTGTATTTTTGTATTGGCAGTGGGAGCAAAACGTGCTTAACCCTGAAAACATCAGTTTTAGGCACAGTCAACTGAGCAGGGTAACGCGCACACACACATCTGGAAAGCAGCTGAATAGGGGGAGGGGGGGGACGTTAATGATGTCCGTCTGTAAGAATGTTTGAGTCGGTCATATCCGAACCAGTTTTAAATGCCAGTCTAATGTTTAAAGCCATAATACATCAATCTAATGCATGGTGCCATCTCTAAACCAGTCTAAGGTGTGGTAGACCATATGTTTACCTGTGTAATATGTGTTAGGTCATCTCTAAACTGTTCTTGGGTGAATCTTATGCCATATATACCATCTCTGAACAGCTCTTGACTTAGTATAATGTTTTGGCATCTTCTAAACCAGTCTTGAGTGAATGGATGCATGGATAATATTGGGCCTTGAATGCAGGATATATTGCAGGGTTCACAGTTTTTCATTGAAGCAGAAATTTTTCTGCAGATTGCAATCAACTGCAACTTGCCTGAACTCAAAACTTTCAATGAGACAGGGATAGGAATTTTCCATTATTTTGAAAGCATTTTCCCGGGTTTTCCAGAGAAGAAAACTGATGCTGGATTTTATAAAGAATATTTTTTTTTTTGAAAATGAGAGTTTGGATTCATGTAGGATAATATAGGCTTTTTTTACTCCTTCAAAATCACTATCTCAAGTCTAGTCGCTGGCCATGTGGAGAATGAACAAAGTGAACGGTGCCTAAAATGTCAGTGTGCACTGCCGGTGTAAGTCCATTTGTGCACCATTGTTGTGAGATTGCTACATTTAGGTAAATAGTTCTTATTCAAAGAATGAAGTGGTCTGTAAGCCCAGGGGGATTATGGAATGGTCGAGGGTTGTGTTAAATACGAACCCATTGGGGCAAGTTTTACACTGCTCTCAATGGGCAATGTTTACATGTTGTGTACTACACTCATAATGTATTTAGACCCCTTGGGGTCTTGTGTCGTCTGAATGGTACAACAGCAGCAGATTTTTTTGTGAGCTTTGTTTTTGGAGAACAAAGTGCCAAATACAGGAGTGTTTGACTGCGTTTTGCTGGATAAATGAAGAGAAATTTGCATGATTCTTTCTAGAACAAAAGGTGAAATTTAAACTATGTTTGGAGTTTGGCATACAGACTAGTCCTTTGGGGTTCGTGTAATTGTTGGCTTAGTTGTAATGCGTGGCGGGGTGAGTATGGAAAATATAGTCATTAAATTGAATTTTTTATCATGAGTGTAATCTTAATTAAGACTGAAATTTTAATTTACTGAACTACTCATGAACAATTTGCTTTTGTTAAAGCCAAGTTTTCTTAAGACCTGAGTTTACAAAAATCGTGAAAAGTATGAGATTGTAACTGTGGATCAGCTGGGCCATTTCATATAAAAGTTTAAATCGTAACTTGCTCTATTTAATTATTTGCCGTGAGTGTATCATCCCTAGGATTAGAGTAGATATATCTTGGTCTTGAAATTAAGACAAGCTTTTGGCTTCTGACTTTTTGAGAAGCAGAAGCCTGGACCAGCTGGGAAACATTTCAAATTAAAGGTCACCTTTCCTGTATTTTACTTGGACCCCTTTGATTCCTCCTTCCATCTACCTTTCACTTCAAAGATTTGTAAATCCATGGTTTGTTGTACTTTTCATCACCTTCCGTTGTTTTTATGCTTGCTGTAAACTTTCACTTCAAGTGTGAAATGGTATGTTTTCCATCTTAAATGTTCACAAGAGCTCAGTTGTCAATCAAAATGCTGTGTTTCTACTCCTGAGATCTTTTTTTCCCTCTTGATCAAAGCAGAATACTTTTAGTTGTTTAATGCAAGGTTTTGGTTTAACAGTTATTTTCTCCACATAAAGGTGAAGAAATGAGGACTGAACACTAATTGTGTGGGACTGGGGGGGGGGGGGTAATGAAGGTATTAATGTTGGTCACATGCTTCATCTAACTTATTATATGCATGCAGTGCCAATGTAGCAAGTGAAATTTTGAATCCGTTTCTTCAGGTATGAATGGTAAGACATTCTTTTGTGATGTGCTGGTTTATCATTTTTTGTTCATATTAAGTTGGTTACTAACCAGAACATCTGGGACGAGAATGCAACACATGGTGGTTAGAATGGACCAGTTACATCACAAGTTGTTAGAAAGAAAACATTTCTCTTAAGTTCATAAACATAGACTTTTTGTAAAAAGAGACCTCCATTTTGTAAAACAGAGACTAAAAAGGTCCCCCCCCCCTTCCAAATTTCTCAGAAGGCCATCGCAGCAGTCACCCATCAGTATGCATTTTTGTTGCTTGTGTTTCTCTGTGAAATGAGGGAGTATCCTAAATTGCCCAAAGCAGTATCACTTCATATCCAAACACCATTTCCTTGAAACTACCAGGGCAATGACTCAAAGACAACCATTGATGTCTTCTGTACCAAACAATTGCTTTGAAATAAAACGGCCTTCCATTTCTCTAAACATCTTTGGAGATCCTTTCCCTCTGTGCAGTTTGTGATTACTTCTGATCCCAAGTTATTTGAATATAGCTCCCAGAAAAACTTCCACAGCAACTTTTTAAATTCCCAGTTAAGGTATCCCTGCTGGTAACAGTTGTTTTGAAACATGGAGGCCTTAAACTTATCCAAAATGTTACCACTCTCAGCAACAAATTTTATCTAGATTTTCAGCTTGTATTAAAGGTTGCGTGTGTATAAAAATTAAACCACCAAAAATTGAAAATTGACCGTGTATTTCCTTTTAATTTTTTAGGACTTCCAGAAAACTGTCACAGCAAGGACTTCAAGCATGTATGAAATAAAATAACACCAGAAATTGAAAATTGATAGTGTATTTTCCTTTAATTTTCCAGGACTCCCAGAAAACTACCACAGCAAAGACTTCAAGCCTCCCACAGATATTCCTTGTATCATACAGCTGCTGTGTGAGAAACATGAAGGTCTCACAGTGGAGGCCAAGGGGATAAAAGAACACTGGTGGAAGCCTTATATTAAGAAGCTTTTTGACAAAAAGGTAAGTGATTTTGTGGAGCAGGTGGCAAGTTGAACCCGTCTGTAGTTTGTAGGCCTAGCTTTACAGACACTACTTGCATGCACGCAAGCATGTTCATACACACACACGTACGCATGGGCGCACGCATTCACATACACATGAAAACGTGGCAAAAGAGTTAGGTGTCATAATGTTTGATTTGCCTTCTGTGTTGCCCTGAATTTTATCTGATTTTTGCATAGCCCAGCTTATGATATGACATTATAAGATTGCCCACAGATGACCAAGAAAGATAAATAGCTAATTAAAATGGAAAAAAAAAATAGATTCAAAAGCTAAAAATGGACAAAATTGGGTATATCATATAGACTTTTGAAAGAAATTTTGTTTTACCGGAATAAAACAAGAAACAGTTGGGACTATTTCGTGGTAAAAACACTGCATCTTGTACCTCTAAATGCCTGGTTAATTGAACTGATATCTCAAAATTTCGTCATAACACTGCTTATATAAAACCATGGTAAACCTAATGGTGTTATCGAATCCTTGTTCCACCCAAGTTTATTACCCTAAAGAAAACAATGAGAAAACTACACCTGAAGGAACAACAGAAGGTGACCTTGTGGTAATAGACTCTAACCTAATGAAAGGCTGATTAGTTTTTCCAATGCTGGTTTGACGCATGTTACATAATCAGAGTGAATTGTTGACGTCATATTGTGTCTGGACTTGCATGACCTCCGGGTAAGATGACCCGGAGGTCGACAGCCACCATTGTCCCCACTGTCTGTCACTTTCGATGACAGATCGGGGAGACCCAGTTGACAGGGGCTGAGGCTATATTAGGTTGTAAACATGGCTGGAGGATCAAGGATGAATAGGACAGAATAAACATGTTTCTTTCTGTGATTTATATGTCAGACTGCGAGACAGGCAAGTAAGGTTTGAGCATGGTTACCCAATTTTGTACCATGGCATGTTTATAAATGACAACAGACTTTTAAATGTACTTGAAAAAGATTGTTTTACTTTACTTCACTAAGAATTTGCAAAGGTATTGATGAAGGATTATTTCCCCCCTCTAAGTTAATAGCTGACACTGTATGGGAAAATATTAGTAAAATTATTGCTACCAGTGCTTTACTGTTTTGCTCTTGAATAATGCAAATTGCAGCATGTCAATGAAATTTGAAGTCCTCATGCTGAGGAAAATGAAGTAGACTTTACACTTCATGATTTTTTTCTTTTTAGTGTAATAAAAAACCTAGTGTATACTACAAAACCGAGGTTTCTATAAGCACACTTTTTGGGATCTTGAAGCCTTTTGTCCCCTTTCATATTGAGCACTGTTTTAGCCATATAGCCTATATACACTTTGAGAGGTCCTAATACAATATTATACAACAAGGCATTTTTCTGTCTTTTGTAAGTTCTCCACAAGCTTTGTTCCTGCTTTTTTAAAAAATAAATTAAGGGAGCATTCAGAACTAGTTGTTAGTCCTGGGATCAAATATGGGTGACCCACTTGAAAGCATGCCACATAATTCCCTAAGAGAATAGATTCCCCGCAGGGATTATGGAGTAAGCTTTCGAGTGGGTCGGCAGCATTTGATCCACGGATCTGTTGGTCAGCAGATCAACTTTGGTTGTAAATGGAGTCTAAATCTCTGTTTAGGTAATTCTCTTGCATGATATCAACCCTTAAAGTGTGAAAGAAACCTTTTATTTAAAAAAATATGGAAAAAGAAAAGCATCCCTCCCCAATTTTCTTACATGATGACCAAAATCCAGTAGAAACTCTCGACATTAAGAACCATAGTGTCGGTTCTTTAAAAGCACCTTGTATGTTTTCAACATGGCTGACATGCAAACTATAGATCCATCATGGTCTTTCTTTCAGCTAGATTCATTATTGTCTAAGTAATAGCAGGAGGTATGCCTGTTTGGTTTTTATTCTCTTGGCTTTAGAAATGTAATGATAACATCAATAATACATCAAAGAGGGCTTAAAGACAAACACGCTATAGAAGCAAGTATGCTGGGCCTGATTCTGGGTCAAGTGTATATTTTGAATAAAACATCAGTCCGGGTGATAAGTATGCGATTAATTGATTTTTCCATCATTTTACATATGTAGTATTTTGAAAATATCTGTATAAATATTAAACAAAAAAAGTGTGTGTTTATAAATCATAACACAAATTAGTCTTATGCAAATAGTACCTGGATTAGTTAATTGTGGAAAGAGATTGATTATTGTCATTATTTTTTGGGGTTTCTTCCAATGTAGTCAAGACCACCGAGTTTAAGCAGAAAAATTGAAATGATATGTTATTAGTAGAATGGACCCTGGAGAGAACTGCATTGTGATTGGTTGGTATTTGAGAAGATAACTTGTTTGGTATCAAAACAGCATATCATAACAGGTCTTTAAAAATCAATAACTGCTTGTTGAAGAAGAAAAAGAGATATTATTACGATCTGCCACTGAGCCTTGTATCCTGTTGCCGTGTAATGTTAGGAGAAGAAAGGCATCATATCCTTAAAATAATATCGGACTGGGTTCTATGGTTGCGTTTTTCAAAACAGTAATTATACCACTGTTTAAACATGATTAAAATTCTTGCACGAAATAACCAAAACCTGAGGGGGGGGGGGGGGGGGGAGTTAAGGAAAAAGGCCCATGTAGAAGTTATGTAGGCACAGGTTTCCTGCTTTTTTGTTGCTTTCTTTAACAGGGAGAGAAAACTTTGCCTGTCATATTCGTGTGTATGTTCACACACAGGACTTACTCAAACTGGTGGTTGGTCAAAATGTTATAGTGATAACTGTGCCCACTAGGTGTATATAACTAGCTGTCAACTATCATTAGTCCTCCTCTCTTCCAACTGTCAACTAAAGAAAACTGTTCAGTTATTTTTCGTTAATGCATCACAGATTTGATAAAATTTTGGTTATTTTGTCATAAAAAAAGAAATATGCTACTCTTTGTTCATTGGTGCTCTGTACCAATCTTGCAACATGTTATATGTGCATTGCAGTTTGGAAGGGGACCTTTATTTAATCAGAGACATCCAATTACATTATAAGGGTATACGCAATTATGTAAAATAGGGGGAGCATGCCTTTTTTAACTATGTTTAGGTAAAAACATTCATGCAGCATAACTAGTAATTATTGCCTTTTTATGTAATTTTTTCCAGACACTAAAAGGGAAGTCTGAGACATTAACAGGAATTTTAGATGTTGGAAGTTTTGAAGCAAATAGGTAAGTAAAAGAATGTAAATTTTGTTAAGTAATGATTACAAGTCTAATGTCAGAGTATATTGTAACTGTTTTTCCCATCAAAATACTCACAACATTTTGCACATGAAGGGAAAAGAAACAGATTAAAGACTTAGGTTAACTTGTGGTCAAATTGATCCAGTCGGTTTGACTTAAACAAGAAAAAAAAACTTAACCACAATAAATGCTATTAGTTGCCAATATCAACACTTGATGTTTTGTACTTTAAAAGTGCTTTTCTTTTTTGCACAATGGGTTTTGATATTGCCAGGGGAGATGGAAATATATTTCCAAGTAGACTAAAAACACAATGCAAAAAACAATGCATAATGTCTGCATGATATATTGCATTGAGTATTGTATTCTACAGCACTGCATGAGAAAAAAATTAAACATATTATGTAATCATATTTAGCTTGCAGCTAATTTACTTCATGCTCAATGCAATTTGTGCAGCATTACATCAATTTTCATTTTCTGCTTTCAGTAAAGCAATAAATAATGCCTACGAAGAATACGTCCTAGGGGTCGGGGATTTTGACGAGCGCATCTTTCTGGGCGAGGACGCGCATGAGGAGATTGGGACACCCGCCAAGTTACAAGTTTACAATCCAGGAGAGCTTTCGGAGAAAATGCGGAATCTTCATCAAAACTTTGATAGTGTGAGTAAAAAAAAAACGTCAGAATAAAGGGTTTTGGCCGATGGCTAAAAATGGTTGCTTTGATGAAGGAAATGTTGCGCCAAGTTGTCATTAATTTAATGGAAAAAAAGGGGGAAAAAAGCTTTGTCTGAAAAATAGTGGCAATTTGTCTATACTAAGAAATGCCCCACAGTGAACCAGGAGTTTTAACATTTGTGAATTGTTTTTGAGTCAAGTTTATAAGTTTATTGCAGAAATCTCAGCAAACATTGTGTAATATTCAATGCCTGGAGTGGCGCCGCATCAACATTGCTCTCCACAGTCATTTCAGTGGCAGCTCTGTTTTGCCTGATATTCTATAACTTGGTTCAGCTTCTCAGTGGTAAATTTAATGTTTTGGAAAAACTTTAGCTTTGTTTGCCTCCAGTCGCAATTTGTGGAATTTATGACAAGCTCTGTGGGAAGAGGAAGACTTGAAATTTAATCGGGGAAAGTTGTAGCAGGAGAAGAAAAATGTTTTTAAAGTGTCTCCAATTTTATCGCCAGTCCAAGATCCTTGCCCCCTCAACCCCACTTACAGGGAGGCGGTACTTAAAAGACAAGGACCCGTCAGTCACTCCTGTATCCACGGCAACACAAAGCGTTAGCAGACTACAGGCACTACTGTCAGGAAGAAAGACAAGCCCAAGTGAAGAGTTACTGGAGATTTTTGGGTAAGTCTCAAATAAGAAAGTTTTAGGTTTAGCAAAATTTAAGGTTAATTTTTTTAGATAAAGAAATATCAAATGTTTTATAATTTTTGCCAGTGCTACTTACTTGTTAATTTGTGGCCTATTTGAAAAATATAAAAAAACATACTTTGCTATTCAAGGGAAACTTGTGTTTATGTTCATAACTCAAAATCTCATGACAGTTACACAGACGCACTTATTTGAATGGCAACCTACATAATTGATCAAGTTTTAAAAAAGTGCTTTTGTCCCCCTCCCCCAACACTTTTGCCAAGCTAAATATTCAATTAACACTTGCTTCAATATGCTATCAGGGACTGCTCGAAGGACCCAACAGAAGATATTATTCAGAGGGTGAAAAAAATGGGAGAGGTTTTCTGTGAAAATTATGCCAAGCCATCAGAAGACCATCCTGGTTCTCACATAGACTTTGCCAAGAAGAGGCTACAGCTCGGAGAGAGCCTGTATTATAAAGTACTGGAGAATGTGATGGTGAATGAAAAAAGGCGACTGGGTGTAAAAGATGACAGATTTGATTTTACGGTAAGTTGGGAGACCTATTGTCCTTATTCACATCAGCAGCAGGCAGAAGATGAGCATTCTCACTCACGTGTCACATATACTGTGAAGATAGAGGGTTTTGTTGCCCTGTGTCTATCAGAAATGTTAAGAAAATTCAAACCTTTCTAAAATGATACACATGTACTTTTTTATGTTATGACAAATGAAATGAGAGTGGTACAAGAATCTCCCTCTCTCTGTCTCTCTCTCTAACTGATGGGTCACCTAAGCAATAATAGATTTCAAACTGGATGTCAAATAATCCTCAAACACTACACTCGCACCTTGGAGAATCAGTCATGGCGCAGATCAAAATTGTAGAGAAAACAAGCATTGGGAGTTTGATATTTGTTTTGTGAAGAGCAGATGGATTGAAGTTATGTATTTCCCCATTTCAGAACCTACTTGAGCAAGATGTGTTTCATAAGTCCCTCTTTGCCTGCTGCCTGGAAATAGTGATATTTTCTTACAATTCACAGAGGTATGTGTTCTTTCTTTCTCAACCCCCCCCCCCCCCAACCCTGGCCAAAAAAGGCCTTATATTCATACATTGATACATTGATTTAAATTGCTATAATTTTCAACCATTAAAACACTGAAATTCACACAACTGTAGATATTTCCATAGCCATGGAATGAAGACAATTTTCACTTCATTTTCAGAACTTCTTTGTGCCCACTGTGCCTTACCCCATTTCCCTATTGCAAAGTGAGAGATGTTTTAATCAGAAAACAATATTGGAAAGCAATTTTTTTTTAAATTTAATTTTCAGAACTTTCCCATGGATTGTGGATATATTTGACCTTAGTCCTTACTACTTTTACAAAGTGATAGAAGTATTAATCAGGGCGGAAGACGGTCTCTCAAGAGACGTGGTGAAACATCTAAACCATGTAAGTTGATAAGTTTTTTGATTAATTTTTGGCAAGAGATTGTGACTGACAGTTAAAATTGGCCATGAAATTGAAATGGCAATTTCGTAGTTAAGTAGTGCTTATCTTACATAGACAAGTAGAATATTAAAACAGAAACAGTACATAGAAATTGAGTTTTAAAAAAGTATAGCACTTCTCATTTGGCTACTTGTTTTGTAGCTTTAAGACAAGAATTTTTCTCTGTCTCAGTTTTATATCCTTTGGCATGACTGATTAGCAGTAGGAAACCTATATGCAAGGCTATAAATGTACGCTTAACCATGTGTATCAACTGAAACTGAAAATTTTGTCTAATTTATTTACATGTTTATTTATGTTTCCAATCATATATTTTAATATTTTCACAGATTGAAGAAAGCATCCTAGAGAGTTTAGCGTGGAGGATGGATTCACCTCTATTTGACGCCATCAAAGCCCAAGGTGGAGTTCCAACTTGCGAAGAGGTAAATCTGGCTCTGTTTCAGTGCAGCCAGTCATGACTATCCTCCCATAGATAATACTATACTTCATTAAAATTTGAATGATATGTATAATACCGTACGAATAATGTTATATGTAAAGCAATAGAAAAAGGAATGGAAGTTCTAATTTTCCTCCCTAGGTGGCGCTGCCTAGCCAGATAGATGGTGGGTCCTCCAGTGGTACGTCTAATCTGCTAAGTTCTCCCATCATGCACCCCCAGCTCAGGAGAGTCATGGGAGAGAGCAGGGTGCAAATTAAAAAAGGTGAGAGCGAAGCTCTTAATATTTATTTTGTTGTTGTTATTCTTAAATTTTGAATTTTGGCTTTAATCTGGAGAATGATTAAACTAATAGATGTCAACTGATTCCAATGGCATGATATATATTTGATATATCTTGCAATTAAAAGCAGTTGAATTGCACAGTAAGATAATTGTAGAAGAATTGTTGGAACAATTGAAGCCAAATGAGAAATGTGAAAAGTTATAGATTGAGATGTGAAAAATTTAGATAAAAGTTACAGATGAAGAGTTATCAGGTATTTTGAACATATTCTGGCATACAATGGGTGTTAAGAGAATTTTAGTTCCAGATGAATTATGATAACACACAATTTTTTTCTAATTTATCAGTTGAGCCCATGCAGTCTCCGACTGGTCCATCTGCTGCAGATCGCTTCAGTTCGCCTGCTCCAGGATCAGCCAAGAGGCGTCTCTTCACTGGGGGCAGCGTTGGGACCCAAGCACAGCAGATCATTACACTACAGCAGGCACAGACATCAGATGGCAGACAGGTAAAATGTGTTATTGACTTAAGATGAATACCTCAAACTGGTTTGCTGTTAGTATATGGTGAAAGGCTGGAAAGGTCTTGTTAAATGAACAATAACCAATGTGTGTCAAAAGTTTTTTGAATAATATGCTGAAAATTGGCTTCCATAGGTGTTTTCCATATGTGGCAAAAGGAATTGTTGATAATGGTATATAAATATTTGTTTTTCAGTTTCTTTATCTGTATTATTATTGACTTATTTATTATTATGATTCGTTTTATTTAATCAATTTTTAAATCTTTTTTGTTATCAGATACTGATCCCAGTCAGCATCATCCCCAGTTCTAATACCAGTGGTGGAGATGGTTCTTCACCGGCATCCAAGGGGGCCACGTCTGCCAAAACGAACAAAGCCAAGAAGGGCGGATCTTTAGCTTTGTTCTTTAGAAAGGTATCTGATGATTACCCTTCTTCGTTGCTTGAACCAGAAGTGCTGAAAGTATTTTATACAATATCTGGACATTCAGACTGACGGTTGCGGTGAATGGTTATATGCCCCCACCACCACCACCATCTATACCTATTGCTATTTTTCCTTAATGATGGGGAGAGGGGGAGGGTTGTTAGACTCTTCCGTTTTCCTGACATTTCAGAAGGAAGTATATTGATATCACATGCAGATGGAGTTTATTATTTTAAAAATCAGAATCGAAAAAGATAAGCAGCTTTGCAGAATATTTAGACATAAAAATAAGACTCTGGGACATTTCCAATTGCATGCACCATATCATAACTAATTAACTTTTTTTTTTTCCTCATATCAGGTTTATCACATGGCCAGTATCCGTCTAAAAGACCTGTGTGACAGGCTAGAAGTGAACGAAGACCTGAGGAGAAAGATGTGGACCTGTTTCGAGCAGTCACTTGTCCATCAAATAGAATTAATGCGGGACAGGCACTTAGACCAACTCATCATGTGTGCCGTTTATGTTATGGCAAAGGTAAGGGAAGTGGGACAGGTATTACAAACATGCATGTGCGTGTGTTTGGAAGTGGTTTTTGATAAAGAGGTGAAAATGGCACTGGTAAACGAATAAAAGTAAGGGTGCATTCCCAGAGATTCAGATCAATCCAGAGATTTAAATTTAGATTGACCTAACTCCCTGGGGGTTCACGCTAAATTGCACTCAGCCGAGCGTGCACCATAGTTAATTACCCCCTTACAGCTTTTAGTAGGCAGGACAGACGCTTAAGCCGGCTAAGCTGACAGTAATCAAGTGAGACTCCCCACAGGGATAAATTGATCTAAAATCTATGGGAATGGGGTCTAAGTCTCATTTCATTCATTTGAACTTTTATGCCCCAAAGTAAATCAATTCACATTGATGCAGTTTTATAATAAAACTTGTGCCAAAAAGATATCTTTCCAGGACATATTTAATGAAATGGTGGATTTACTGTATTTCTAGGTTTCTGGACAAGACCAATCATTCCAGGAAATCATGAAACTGTATCGTCTTCAGCCCCAGGCTCAGAGTCATGTGTACAGAAGTGTGCTGCTGAAAAGTCGAGCTCGTCACTCGTCAGGGGGCAGTAATAGCAGCAACGGTGCCAGCGGCTCTTCCTCTCCAGTTAATATCGAGGAACAGAATAGGGAAAAGGAGAAAAGCAAGTTCCTTTTTCACTGTTTGTTATTTATGATTTGACTTGTCACTGCAGTAGTTCAGACTAAGTACATTTTTGTCTAGTACTCCTGTCTTAGCTCTGAGAAAAATGAAAATTATTTTAAATTGATTTCATTAATTTATTTGGTTTTTTTAAATGTAATAGACATTGGGGTTTGAAATATTTGCTGTTGCTTTAGGTTTCTACAAGAAGCTTTAGCATTGGTCATTTCGTATTTTTATGTATTTGTTATTTTATAATTGTTATTAATTATAACATTTGTTAATAATTTATGAATTTTTCACAGAGAGAACAGAGCGCTTGAGTTCCATCCGTTCCTCCAGCACCTTACCTGTTCCCCATCCAAGCAGCCAGCCTCCCACACCTACTCGCCTCACAGGGACGGGATCTGTGTTCGAGTTTGAGGAACGAGGAGATTTGATCAAATTTTACAACTCTGTAAGTTGTTGAAGTTATGAATATATTATTCTGCAATGTTAAACATTTGTTCCACTTGAAATGTCAATAGATTTGATGTAAATGTTTGAAAATTGTTTACACACCAACAAGTGTTTCTGGTTATTTGGGCTAGTATTTTTTTAACAATGGAGTCCCAAAGAATCAATAGGCAATAGGAGAAACTTTGCAACCTGTAGGCTTTAAGAATTGTTTATCGACTTATTTTACAGTATTTTTACTTATGTAACATTATTTTAGAAAGTTTACAGAAATGAATAGAATCAGTTACTTATTTTTGTAAATTTTTTTTCTATAATATTTTCAGATTTATGTAAAAAAGATGAAAACATTTGCATTGAAATTCAGCAATAAAGAAGGGGTAAGTTTGTGAACTTTACTACCTTGCTCACGTATGGCCTTTTCCTTAAAGTGAACTGGAAAGAAATTCATGAACCTGTCAGACAAATGGACTGAGATGAAATAATTCTGGTCAGAAATTTTCAGATATAGAAAACAAGTACATTAGAATTGCATCTCTCCCTTTACTTCAACTAGAACAATTACAATTAATTATCTTCTTACAAAATTTAAAACTGCACATGATTTCACAAAGGCATTGGCCTAGAAACTGTTTAATTAATTTTCTAGCAAACGGCTCCCCCACTGTCCCCCCTTCCACAGCCACGCAGACACCCGACTTCCCCGCGTCGAGTGTCCAGCAAACACGCCGTGTACATCTCTCCTGCCAAACAACAGGGGTCGCCACCTCTCACGCCAACTAGCAGAATGTTGTACTGTTTTAACAAAAGCCCTGCCAAGGTTAGTATTAAGTAGTTTTGTATTTAATTTGTTTTTATAACATTTTATAGTATTACATTATCATTTATAGTAATAAATAATAAATATTTTAATATATGGATTGCCTATGTATAAAGAGCAGGAGGTTTGTGTACATTACAAATAATAGGAACAGTTTAAGATATTGGATATATTGATCTTTCATTTTAGATTAAATAATGTCTTGTTTTTGTATACAAACACTGCTTTATTAAATACTACAGAGAAGGAAGGAGTGCATTATTCTCCAAATATAAATTGTTGAATGTAAATAAGCAAAAAAAAAAAAAACTGAAAAAAGTAAGTGAAAATACTTGTTTTATGTATATTTTCCTTGCTGGTATCTTAAGATTCTATGTGGTCTTTTAAGGTTTCAAACACATTTTTCTTTTCAATTGTCAGGATTTGCGCGCTATCAATAACATGATTAGGATGGGTGAGAGGCACAAACAGAGCAGTTTCACCAGTAAACGTATCATTCAGATTGACGGGGATGAACCATCGGGAAGCCCCGCAAAGAAAGTCTGCATTGAGCCACAGTTTGGGAAACGCATGCAAGACATTGTGAATGAACGTCAAGAAGTGAATGGAAACAAGTAGTCCAGTAGAGTTTATGTCGAGTTAGCTAAAAACTGATGGAGCAGACTTGTGCAAACAAGTCCAAGTAGGAAATGGGGCATGCTGGGAAGGCAGTGGAATCATGTTTCCATTTGGATATTATTCAGCAGACATGGATTGTAGATGCTGATAGGCAGAATGGCAGTTTGACCAATTTTAAGGGAGATTTTGTAAGATTCTTTGTCCTAAATCTGCAGGAATGCAGGTGCCGTGTCCCAGGCTTTTTTATAGTAAAACAATCTGTTGATTTCTTCCAAGGGGAAAAAACTGTGAAAGGGTTAAATTTTGGAAGAAAAATGGGTTGAAATGGAGCCTGCACATGTTAAAAAACATACTTTTTAATTGATCTCATTTTTCTGTTTTACAACTGTTGAAATTCAAAATTAGCGTATCAGGGAGGACTAGGCTTATGCCACAGTGGGCAGAGCATATGCCAAAGTGGGTGGAGCTTATACCTAGCCACTATAAGCAGGGGTGGAGTTTATGCCACAGTGGGTGGAGTTTATACCATTGCCACAATGGGTGGAACTTACACCTAGCTACTGTAAGTAGGGGCGGGGTTTATACTACAGTAGGTAGGGCTTATACTTAGCCACTGTAAGCAGGGATGGAGTTCATGCCACAGTGGGCGGTGCTTATACCATTGCCACAATAAGCAGGCTGACACTGCAGTAGACAAAAGTTAATGCCACTGTGTGTGAAGCTTTTGCCACAGTAGGCAGAGCTTATGCCAAAAAAAAAAAACAGGTGAATCCTCTGTCATAATGGGTGGAGCTTATACCACAGCTGGTAGACCTTATGCCACAGTGGGTGGAGCCTATAGTGCCACAGTGGGTGGGGCTTATGCCACAGCTGGTAGACCTTATGCCACAGGGGGTGGAGCCTATAGTGCCACATTGGGTAGGGCTTATGCCACAGCTGGTAGACCTTATGCCACAGTGGGTGGAGCCTATAGTGCCACAGTGGGTGGAGCTTATACCACAGCTGGTAGACCTTATGCCACAGGGGGTGGAGCCTGTAGTGCCACAGTAGGTGGACTCTGCCACAACATTTGCGATAGGTCATGAAATGTTATATTTCCAAAGCCATTTCCAAGTAGAAAGACTTGCACATTTGGTTTCTATTAAGATCCACTTAGGTTCAGATGGCCCAACAATATGAAAGTAAATAGGGAGTATTCAGTTTAGTAATGCCTCAGTACTAGTATTGAATAGGTTGTATATTTTTTTGGGTAGCTATATCTTGAGAAGAATAAGAATGAATATATTGATGTGCAATACCTTTTTGCATGTGAAGTTATTAAAGTATGGATCATTCTAACAATATACGAAGCAGTAGCCAGCTACTAAGGACTCAGGCTTGAAAATTGGTCTGGCATTTAAGACCAAAATTTAGGTCTGCTTTGGTTAAATATAAACTGTATAGTCTACTTAAATGGTATTAGTACTGGTTTGCAAGATAGATCATAATTTTCTTTATATGGAGGAAACACAGCAGCATGTTTAATTGCACTTTTGCTGATTTATGTTCTTTCAAAGCAGAGCTATGTCTTGGTCTAAAATTTAGACCAATTTTGAAGCTTAAGTTGGTTTTTTACAGAAGCACTGAAGGTTAAACTATTTTGACCATTATATTGACAGACTTTGTAAGAACATAGTGATGAAAAGATATGCAAATCCAGCATGTACAATGGAGATGTATGTTTGAAACTGTTTCATTTTTCATAGTTGCTCCAGTGTTATTTGGTTTCCTTATTTATTTTAGAGTAGAAAGAACTCCAGATAAAAAAGCTAGCTACAAAGGGGTTCAGGATATTGATATTAGATGGCCATTGTCAAGATATGCTATGTGCATTTTTTTTTTTACTTAAAACATTGTTTTGATGGTCTTTTACAACAATTATTATTTACTAAAATAGATGCAAAGTTATTTTATGAAAATTATTACTTTTTTCTTAATCAGAGATCATGCTAATGTAATTTGAACAAGGCAAACCATTATAAAAGTTATCAAAAGCAGAAAAAATGAATAGTGACCAAAACCTTTTACTGTTGCCTATTGAAACAAGGGTTGATTTCACCTGCTAGTTTTAATACAGATTTATTGTTATTATTTTATCAATTCTAATTTATTATTTACTTTTAGTTAAGTGGTTTGAAATAGGTTAAAAAGGATGGTTTAACCTAAACATTTCAGAAGTGGGTTATAACTGGGCTGAGATCCACTTTAACCCATGTGTGTACACTTGGTCAAACCTACCTACAGTAAAGAGAAAAAGGATGGTTTTATAAAACTTTTCCAGAAGTGGGTTGTGTCCCACTGCAGTGGTTTAAACCACCTATATAACGCGAAGGGGCCGGTTTCATCTCTTAGTTTCAATTTGAACCTTTTGAGTTTAAACTGGGTTAAAGCGGTCCCATGCGTTTGTAAGAGGGCCATTTGCTCTTTTAAACTTCATCAAGAGCTTTATTTCATTAAATTGGGTTAAATCCCAATATAAGCCCAGCATTACAGATCGTATTTTAAAACCAGATTTGAAACAGAGATATGAAATCGGCACATAGGGAGCTTATATTTTCTATCCAATTTTGTCTTTAAAACCGAGTTCTTAAGGTGTCCCAACCTGTGCCAGTGCTAACCATAATCTCATTTATTTAAAATTCAATCATGAACTGATTTGTCCATCTTGTAATCAAGGAACTTACTGCTGTCATTAACTATCATTTTGTACTCGTGGGAAAAGCTGCATTACGTTAAAGAAAAATCGTAGGGCCTAAGAAGTAATGTAATCCGAGGTTAAGTGGCCAGTGGTAATTGTGATTCGAGTTCACTTTAATTTTAGGACTTAATGGCGAGTATCTGCCCGATAAAGTGTCGATCTGCCCACCCGTGGCGTGGCAAAAATTACTCTTTGCTACCATGTATGTGTTTATTGTTATTCTGTATTTTCTTTGATTTGTAAAAATGTACCAGTCTTTTTATTTGAAAAGAAGTATTTTAAGAAAGTAGTCTTTTTAATAACACATTTTATGTAGTTCTCAAGTGAGGAAAAAGCTTGAGTAGTGCAGTTCTACGTTCATTTGAGATTCGGAATCGAGCCTGTACATATTTTTGGTTTCAGAAAATAATATTGTATTTTCTTCCACGAGACGTGGATAAGAATATTACAATAAATTGCAAATAAGGAAAAGTTAATGTGCTATTTGGGATATTTATTTACAGGGGAGTACCTTTAGTGCCGACCGCTAGATTCTTAAATATTGTTTTTGAAATGTTGAAAACTGGGATTCGGTGAACACAGTAATGACATCTTTCCCTCCTGAATATTTGTCTATCCTTCCAAGTTTCATCAGAATTTGCGAAGAATTTATTGAGATATCCATGGGAATCTTGTCCTTGTCCTTTAAACAAACGGACCAGCCAACGATTAATACTGATTTTAACAACTTGGTCCAATGGTAAAAAGAATTCCATTGATGACGTAAAGAGTAAAACCGTTCATGGGATTGGTAAAAATAGATGCCGCGGCTCGTGACCGCCCAGTAACAGGTCTATGAAGACGTATATCTCTGTTACGGATCTCTCCATGGTTTCCCTTCCTCGGATGTAAAAAACGAGATCGCATTTGAAGGTGAGCTCCACGTCGCGAGATTCGAACACGGGTGCTGGCTGTGCTCTTAATGCCACCACCGGATTCCATATCGCCTTTGGTGCTTGTCAGTCCCGCCGTGTTGGTTGATTCTGTGTGTAGAGTTGCGTTGTTTATTGCTGAAGTCCACGCTACCATGTTGGACATCGTTGATGGCGCCTGGTGTGATGTTGCCTTGCCGGGTGTTGTGGTCTCGCTAAGTTGACGCTTGAAACGACGAGCAACGTCATTAATGCTCGACCTCGGCTGATACCTCATGGCAAGGGAACAGTTTAAAATTCTCGATGAAGGAAATCGCTCAGAGTTTTCTTTTCTGGGAGGCACGTGTCCGGGCTTATGTGGTAAGGTATTTGTCAACAGTTCCGATCCTTGACGTGCAAATTTGCCGTACAATTCGGAAGTGTTTGGGTCACTTAGCAGAAAGGTTTTATCCTTTTTGATGTGTGGGAGGCCGTTTGATGTCTCTGAAAACCTCCATTTGTGTACTAACCTCTGATTAGGTAGGACCCCCGTGAACTTATCGCAAGCCAAGTAATCTGGAACGCTTTGACCCTCTGCGCTTCCAATTCTCGGGTTTCTGCGGATGCTAAGATCCAAACTCCTCTCAAATGTTTTTGGACCTCCAGAAACATGATGTTTGGGAAACAGCTCTTCACTTAAAGCGCAAATAAAGAGACGAAAGAAAAGAAAAACCAGATAAACTCTCTTCCTATCCATTGTCACCTGCATTTTCCTGCAAGCGTCCTTTTTATACCAAGATCAAATGTATGCTTAGAACGAAAACAACTTTTCCGCCATCGCGTTGCATGGCAACGCAAGGGATTTTGAAACCAATTAAGCTTCTATAGATACTAATAAACACGATTTAATCGCGAGTCAGGGGATTTTATTTCTATATAAATATGCATGGTTTTTTGTATCAAATACTAATGTGCCTTCATCACATGTTAAGCAACGTGTTTTTTTTTTCTCTCTAAAAGGAATGACGAATAAGATTTGTGAAAATAGTATTATTGGATCTCGGTTTTCGATAGTTGAAAAGTCAGACAATGTTTAGATTTCATTTTTAATGTGATAAAAATGCATAAATATATTAGTTGACAGAAACAATATTATTACTGTGTAAGAAACTTGGAGGCGTAAAGTAAGAGATGAACAGGAAAAAGTTTGGTACCTAATATAACCCTCGGTTGGCAAATTGTTAATAGATTACGACGAAGAGTTTAATTATAAATCTTCAGCCTATATACCTGTCACTCTTTATCAAAGGTAAACTGGATGATGAAGTTATGCATTCAGAAGAACAATCTGAAGTACTGTATGAGGTTTTACAATTAGATTTCACCGTCAATGTGGTAATGTTGATTTAAGACTGCAGTATGATACATGTACATTGGGATAGGCATGGTACCTTTGGTACTTTACAGTGAGAATAAGCGATATGATAAAGGCTTGATACATTGTTGGAAGGATGGACGGATATATAGACAGAGAGGCACCAACTGGCAATTGGTGAGTGTTTAATGTAATCTTTTTCAATCGATGATATCCCTGCGCCCCAGATTTTTGAAAGCTCAATAGCTACATATTTTAGTGGACTCCTTATTCTAGTGCTTAAGAATAAAAACGTATTCTGATGGTTGTTTTCAAACAGTTCAATCGTGTTATTGAACTATATATATATATATATATATATATATATATATATATATATATATATATATATATATATATAACACTCTTGTGCATGCCCAGTTCCCTCCCCCTTTTTCATAATAAAAAAAAAGTTGCCGTTAATCGATAAGGATATAGTTACCAATTTCTGTATATTAATCACATCCAAATGCAGTTAAGTTAATGAACATCATCGATATGTTTGTAATTGCAGCGCGAAAATCGTCAATGCCAGTGCGATTATTACATTCGACTGATCTGATTTCGTGGTAGAGCAACCGGCATTGCGTTGCACAAAGTTGGGTCTGAACCGAGTTTTCTTGTTTAATTGATCATCATTGCCATCTTTGATTACTTTTTCTTGTGTTGTTGTAAGTGTCTCTGTCGTTATTTCTGTTGACTGCAAGATAGGAGGTGTGCTAGCAGCTGATGATTCAACAAATGTTGATTGCTTTGGTGTGGTCTTTGTTGCTGTCTGTGGCGATTTTGTAGTCGCTGGATCCGGTGCCTTTTTTGTTGTGGTTGTCGTTGTCGTTGTGGTATGAAAGCGAGACATAATGCTCGGCCAAAATCCGTCTCCTGTTGTCCTTGAAACTGTTGACGGCCTGGTTATAGCTCTCTCACTCCCCGTGATTGGTTTAGTTACTGTTGCAATTGGAACTGTAGTTCCTGACGACTGAAGACCCGTTGTGGGATCTGTGGTAGAAACGCTTTCTATGTTGTGCCAAGAGAAATCCGAGAGACGCCGGCCGTCCTCGGTGCACTGCTCCTGAACATGCGAGGAGGGCATACATCCGGCTGTTAAGGACTCGTACATGGTGTTCCCGAAACACATGAATACCTGAGCCACCGTGGCATTCATGCACATATGATAAAAGGAACAGTTTGAAGGGTGTGCTAAGAACGTAGGTTCTATCACCCCTGTGCAATTGAGAGACTCTGAGTCCGGGACTCGAACATCACCGACGCACTGATCGGAGACTTCTTCAACCGGTCCACAGACCATCTGGGTTTGACTGAAGTAGAAACCTTCAGGGCAAACAAAGCTCGCCTTGTACCTTCCCCGGTGGCAAGCGTGGAAAACGGTGCAGCTGAAAGCGTCTGCTTGCAAGTCGTCAGCGTCAGTGCAGTTGATAGGAGGCTGTAAGGTTGACGGGAGGAGTGTTGTTGTTGTTGCTGTTGTTGTTACTGTTGTTGGGGGAGTTGTTGTAGCAGTTCTGGTTGGACCCAACGATGGCCCCTGTGCAGAGGTCGTCTCGATCCGGAGGCCATCTTGACACTCGTTTGACGTCACCTCTTCGGGTACACAAGAAGACTGTGGGACGCTGAAGTAAAAGCCAACTTGACATTCATTAACTTCTTCCAGTGCACCTTCGTAACATAAGTAAGAGATACTACAGCTGATATCATCTGGATAATATCCATTGGCTTTGCCTGTGCAGTTGAAGAGGTTTTGATTGATAGGTGGTAATTTTGTTGTCGTAAAAACTGTAGTTGGGTCACGTAATAAAGTAGTGCCGGAAGTGCTGGATGGCAATGGAGTTCCACTTACGATGGTTGTTACTAAAGAATGAGATATTCGTTTGTCACCTTCGCACTGTCCTATTGTAAATTCTGGCGGGACGCACGTTTTTTCGCCGGCATGAAATAATTGACCTCCTTTGCATTTCACTGTATCAGTCAACCTTCCCTCTGTACAAAGATGATAAACTTTACAGGTTATCTCATCTGGGAAAAAGTCGTCCTCCTTGTCGGCACAGTTGAAATTGTTTCTCACACCGTCCACACACTCCGAGAGGGGGACAAGTTCTGCCACAGTGCACCCTCTTTCGCTGTCGTAGGACATTCTCTCGGGGCACACCCCTGTGCTGTGATACCGGCCTGCGAGGCAAAGATGGTAAAGAGAACAGTTGTAGTGGTCGTAGTGGTAATCGTCTGGTCGCCCCGCGCAGTTAAAAGGCGCAGCCTGGGGTGATATAGTTGTTGGTGTCGTGATGTCATCTGGTGTGACAGAATACGTAGTTATTGTTGTTGTTGTTGTTTTTGTTGTTGTCGGGACTGGCTCAGTTTTAGTTTTCTGTGTCGACGGTGTGATTCGTTCCCCTGCGCCGTTACACTCACCGTTCAGCATGTTATACGGAACGCATTGTTCGGAGTCCCCGTGGAAGTAGAACCCTTCGCTGCAGTTCAGAGTTTCGGCAAACCTTCCTTCGAAGCACATGTGGTATGTTATACAACTCTCTGGGTCCGGGTTAAAAACTTTCACCTTGCCCGAGCAGTCGAACCCCTTGGGGGTGCCGACCCTGACATAATCACGTGTGCATTGAGTGATCACGCTGCGTTCGTAAGGCTCACAGGTCTGTGTGATACTGTTGAAATAAAAATCTTCTTCACAGCGATCGAATGCTACAAGGGCTTGATTTCGGCACGTAAAATGGAAAATGCAGTTTGTCTCGTGCGCGTGTACACCGTCCGTTTTTTCGGCACAACTGAATGATTTTCTTGAATTATTTTGAAAGCAAACGTCATCTGCGTATTCCCATGGTACGCATGTGTGCTGTTCCTCGTTGAAGTACAAGCCGGCTGGGCAAGTTGTGTTCATGATTAGCGTGTCCTGCGCGCACATGTACACGTATTGGCATGACGCCGGCTCTGGGTACATCCCCTCTGTACGACCCTCGCACGAGAAGAAGAAAGCACACGAGTCCGGGAGTTGCATCAACAGCAGGATGACAACGCCTGATATCAAGAGAGATTAATAGTAACTTTAAGTGAATAATTTTCGATGAAAGCAAGACGCTTTTAGAGCATAATATCTACAACACATATTGGCTGCAATACATTGATATAAAAGATGATCCATTCACTTCCGGCTTACAATCATTCAAATCAGAGTATTTCTGTTTGAAACAGGTTTTCATAGTCTCTACATGACAACATTTTTTACTTCAAGATTAAAGCACGTAGCGTTTGACTTTTGTTATTTATTCTCTAAGTCAAGAACAACTGTTTTATTTCTATAAAAGGTATATTTTATCAATTTTCTTACCTGTACGCCAAAAAGCGACACTCCTCATTCTCTGCTTTATTCTAGTTGCCATTTGGGAAATATTCACGGCTCGCTTTGCCAACTACCAAAAATGAAACAAGTATTGTAAATCCATTTAGAATTCCTTTCAATAGTGCTTTGTGTGCAAGCCACTAGACACTGTACAAAAATGTCAAACTTATGGCCGTACACTGTTAATTAATTCACTTTCTCATATAAAACTGTATAAATTCTTGAGCAATTCGTAGCAATTGAATAAGAATAAGAAGCACTCCAGTGTCATAACAGCACCACTCATATATACGCATGATAAGGCCTGTCATCCAATTTATTTTCAAAAGAATCACTTGAAGTAAATTTAATGTATGCGTGAACATCCATTAAAATGCCGTTATGTCCAAGTGCAAGGCTTTTCAGTAACACCCCGTTTAAGTCAATTGAAATTTTGCGGAATGATTGCTGTCATAAAAAGCTGCAATTTAACTGTATTGAAAACAAGTATTATCAGCGATAAACGCGGCTGTCTTCGGTACACCACAGAGGATGTCATGCTTTGATGCGATCATTTCTTTTCATGGCACCTTTTATGAGTTAGAACTAGTTTTGCATAAATCACCGTCTAAATTCCGCGATGATGACGTTAAGATAAGAATTCGCGCCTCACTGTTATTATATGAATTTTAAGAATAATCCCGTTTTTGCGGCGTCTTGGTGACTCTCTTACAGTCGTTTTAATGTGATGGAATACGCCCCTCCCTGCCTCCTGCCACAGCCTGGCACTGGAATATGGTTATGGCTTTTTTTTTTCATTAAGCGTTTTAATTGGAACCAACAATGATTCTTACCCCCCTCCCCTTGAAAAGATAAACTCAGCGAATGATAACAATAATCAGTAAAGCAACAAGTGATCATTTGCTCGTTATTTGTAAAACTATGGACACAAAAGATACTCATTAGAAAAACTGCAATACAAAACATTGTAATTGGGTATAGCGATAACGACTCTTCAGTGCAGAACCTTCAGAGGTTGCATTTGCAATCAATGAGTTCAAATTCCCAATACGAAATTTTAAAGAAACGTAAAACTAATGTGTCTTTGCTGTCTTGATTATGTCCACCTCATACATCCTGAACTACAGTTCCCAAAGGCTATGGAATTACAACTTGAGTAAACTACGGGAGTATAGCCTTTTACGTGAAGAAGCAGTTTTTTTTCCGTTTAACGAAACTGCCTATCAAATTAGGTTTCTTGTTAAAAATAGCGGGATTTGCGTATCAATAGATAGGTTATAGGTGAATGAAAAGGATTTTTGCTTCATTATGAAAAAACCCTGTGGGAAAATTTGCTGGGCTTAATAACGTAATTAACACCAGAATCATTAGTTAGATGCAAGTAATTGATATGATACGTTCTGGGCTTATATAAGATGCAGGCGTCATTGCTTTTAAATTCAAAGCCTCCTCTTTGTTCTATGACAGGCCATATATTTTAATCAACATGACAAAGAAACTTTACATCGTATTGCCATTTGATATCGTATTAATGGTGTGTTTTTTTTCCACCGTGACATTTCAAGGTACGAGAAAACCATCTCCAGGGATCATCTCAAACGTTTGCAGCGATTTACCAAATTTGGTTTCTTAAAAATTCCTGCCTCGATGGCTTGGGTCCAATTTTATTTTGTAGAATATGTCAGTTGTTCCATAAGATTTACCGAATAATCATATAACAACTAAAATGCTTATTTAGTAGAATGAACAATGACTTCATTATTATTCTTCACGTGGAGAGAGCAGTCTGTCCAAGTTGTTTGGAAACGTGACTTATTATTCTGCACATGTAGGAGAATGTTTTAAAAATATGTAATTTTTGTCATCATGCTGGTTAATATACCTGTACATCGATTATGTGAGTCATTGACATCCTCCCCTTCTGTCATTCAACCTTCCGTAAAGACGGAAACATGTCACTCGAGCTGTGTTACGGTGAGGACTCTTTTGAACAAAATCATTTTAATTTTCAAAAAAAAAAAAAAAAAAAAAAAAAAAACGAAATGTTACTAATACTAAAAATGTTATTTGATAGTTCTGAAAATTATGGTGAATTGAAACCAGAAAGATAATTTTGTGAGTTGCCAAAATGAGAAGTCGTGGGAATTGAAATATTCGAAGGTGTTTGAAATTTGTGAGCAATGGCCGTATGTATTTTAGTCATGACTTGCGAATGTGACATCATTAAATCATTGAAATGACACTGTCTTATGCTGCCAGCAGTTTAAATTGAAACATATAATACTTGTGCCAAGAATCAAAAGAGCATTATCTACGTTTTGGATCGTTTATATTAGATATACTTCCCTTGCTCTAAATATTCTTCCCCTACTCTTACGCCTTCTAACCTTTACGGTGATTGCCAACCACAGATTGGGAATATTTTTTTAGAAAAAGAAAAAGTGTTTAGTACTTGTTGATACCTTACAGACCCCAAAATGCGTTCTTGCGACTAGCACGTCTCTTTTCATCTTACCTCCATTCAGTGTCATAACATCATTTTGGCACCAATGCCGCTCTCTTGCCAGACTCTCCGCTGCACCAGATATGAAGTATTGTCTATTTTTTCTTTAAGGTAAAATACTCCAATAACCAAATAGATCAACCGAAGTTATCTCCTTAAACATGTCATCCGCTTAACTTCGTGCAATCCTTTGGCTGTTACAGAGTAATAACATCGTTATGGGAAGTGTATGCTAATTAATGGGCAAAGGAGGGGAAGACTTTAATGGCATATTTTAACTGCGTCAAAACCACCGCTATCTTTCACGCTTCTTTCTCTTACATGTATTTATATAGGAATTTTCGACCTTATTTTATTTATTTGTTTGTTTGTTTGTTTGTTTATTGCCAAACATATAACAGTGGATTATTTGAAGTAAAAAAAATCTAAACTAGAAAAGCACTCCGAGAGCGCAGACCCCCGCCAAGGCAGCAAAGTCTCCATCCAATGCCGTTTCACCCTTAAATTTTCGATATTTTTGATTATTGAGTATTGATTGATTATTGATCCAGATCACCACCAAAAACTAATCATCTCTTCCTTGGCCCCACTTCTGACAGTTCCTGTAAATTTCATCAAAATCGGTCCATAACTTTTTGGGTTATGTTGATGACAAACAAACAAACAGACAAACAGACAGACAAACAGGGGTGAAAACATAACTTCCTTGGCGGAGGTAATGAAGCAGAAGCCACACGTGCTATTTCATGGACTTCAGAACGCGAAGTCTTAAGGGATATTTCCTTAGTAGTCACTGCACCCGATAGTCTGAGGTAATTGTGTCAAATTTACGAATTGTTAAGCTGGTTCTTTAGTTTGAAATTTTCTTTTAATCAGTTAATAAATATTTATAACCACTCCAGTCACTTTCTCATCTTGCATAGAACTCTCGTGTCAAACCACAGGGGTGATTTTAAAATTTCATTTGTGGTTTTATAAATTAGCGGCTAAGCTTGAGTGCGCAAAACTGATTCTTTTAAAACATGATGACGAAAGTTTAGTATAGTTTAGAATATCTTTGCATAACAAGATAAAAACACAACCTGAGTGCTAAATATAGTATTTGGCACATGGATGCTTCTATGACTGGGCTACAGTTAAAATCTTATGTCCCCTCTGTGCACAACAATGTCAAAGATTGACCCAATCTTTGTGAAGGCCCTGTCGACTTCTCTTCAGCCTTCAGTGTACATGAAAAAAAAACTTCCATTTCAATCGCAAGAAGAACCTCATGAGCGAATAGGGCCTATATAAAAACCACAATTATTCTCAAACGATGCTTCGCATATCTGCTTCAACTGTACATTGCATTTGTTGAGAAGCTGTCATCGCAACCGTAGTTAACTTATCTAACACAATCTGATGAATTTTTCCCTGTTGACAAAAAGGGTGAATTGGCAAAGATTTAAAAGTTATAAAGATTTTAAAATTCCATGCAATAGCTTATCATGACACTTTCCTTCACTTATCTTGACTGACAGGTTACCATGACGCTACCTCCAAGTGCCCATTCACTTGCACACAATAAAAAAACTACATGAAATGCCAAGTTCATTTCTCCAATTTTCCTCATGCATAAAGGTGTTTTGAATGTTTCCTAATGTATACCGTAGAAAAATTAAATGGTATTTGCTTTTATTATCAAAACAGGAAAAACACCGATAATTTAATGGTGGGATTTGGTAGGACCTATGCAAAATAAACATTTATGTATTCGATTTCTGATAATTCTTCTGCGTTATTAACTTCAACTGTTGTGATGTTTATCGTGATACAAGGTTCTTGGACTTAACATGGCTAACAATGTTGTGTAGTCCGAGTAATTACTGAGGTTTTTATTCTGCATTTACCTGGATTATATTGACCAAATACGGAGACATTATCCAGAGAAATGGGAAAACCGATTTGAAACAGAGGATGTTAGAAAAAATTCGATTTCCTTAATTTTTCAAGACAAGGATATAGGAATTTTTTCAACAGATATCTTTTGAACAATTATCTCTCGGAACTGAAACGTCAAAATTTGTAGAAAAGCTTCTTGTCTCGTTTGGCGTCTGTTAATGCATTTGGGTACATGTAGCCCCCAGGGGCATAACAAAAAATGTAATTAGAACCTTTCTGATTTCAACATGAACATACATACAATTGAAATACAATTGAAGTCCAAAAAAAAAAAGCACTTCCAAATATACAGACTTGACATTTAATATGGAATATTTTTTTCCAAATCATTTTTCATCAGTTTTTTCCTATTTTGCAGACTGATAAATGAAAATAAGGATTGAAATCGTGTTTTAATAACTTTTAATTATCTCTTTGATGTCATTGTGACATCAGTTCATTAATGGAATTCGCCAGAGAAGCAAACAAAAACACATTGCCTATTATATGTCATATGACAACCATCAAAAGGGATATTTTGGACCTCCATATTTTCCAAATGATTGTCTGTAAAAGAGTTAAACGTTCCACAAAGGACCCTCATGTCAGTGTCTAGTCACAGTAACGGTCGCTGTTACGCCTGACTTCTTCTGGCTGTTACCAGAGCTCTCAAGTGACAAGGCATTCCTTGGGATAGGTTTTTAAAGTTCAATCTGGAATAACATTCCAGGCATCGGTCAAATACTGCCCAATTTGGTCCAGTTTTGTTGTAGGACATATAGGCCATTGATTCGGAGAGTAATGGCCTACCCACATATTGTCTATGTGGTTCAAATAGGGCGATTTTGATGACCAAGGTAGCTGCTCATTCCCTTGGTTCTGTAAGTAAACTGCTATTAAAAGTGCTCTGTGTGAACCGGCAATCTCACCGTGCAACCTAAAATTGTTGCTAAGTTGTACCCTATCAAATGATAGCCAACTGGTTCCCATATTTTTTCTTTTTTTGATCTGGTTCGGGTTTTCGTCGATGACTACCATTGGTGTTTTGGCACCAATGTGGTATCCTCTCCAAATACTGCCGCTGTTAATGACCTTAGTCACTTTAGACGCGCCACACGCTTCGTCGTTGGCCTCTTCTGGATGTCTGTAAACTCTGTTTTGACTGTTGAGCGGTACAGGTGAAATCTGACCTCAATAAAGAAAGCCACGAGATTTCACTGTTCAACCCAGAAACAGCCAAGGTCCCCAATTCAATAGAGAAACATACAACGATGTTTTGCTGTTTACAGTGGGTTCCTCGGAGGTCGTCTGGTATTCTAACCTGCTAAAACCAGTTTGGTGTTCGCTAAGGGCCTTGAAAATGCGTTTTGGTGGTAATTTACCCCTCATTCTGAACAGACTTGGTGGTTTTTGTTTAGTTGCAACAGCATATCCCGAAAGACAGTGGGCCCTGTTCCCTGTTGGTAAGATTCCAATACATTGGGTGTGGCCTCTGTGTAGGTACATCAGTCTGGGCATTACTCTTTAAAACTGTGGGGACCGTTTCGTTTGGCGCAATTACCTGTCTGTCAATGCCTGCCTTTTCCCCTTAATTCTGCCACAGATAAACAAAATTTTAAAGCGCTGTATAGCTCATTTTACACACTACAAACCCGACCACTTGCATGCACAATTTCATATTCTTCTATGCAGTAGTTGCCGACATATGAATACTTTTTTGACAGAACCATGCTTTGCCAAAGCCAAGCTTTGACCTGCCCAAACGAGCACTACCCAATTAAATCACTGCACATTACATAATTCAGCAGCGCAACAAACCTGGTAATCAGTTAATTGGTAGCGACACACCTGATTACACATTTCTCCATTCACATATCTTATATGAGATCGGAGTTTGTGAAAAAAAAAAACGCTTTTTTACCTAGGCATACATTCGAAACTGAAATATTCCATATTAAATGTCAAGTCTGTATATTGTGTCGGTTTTGAAGCGTATGCCGTCTCCTGTTGTACATCAAAGGAGAGCGAAGGAAAGTTACCATCAGTATTCTGAAACTTAGGGTGTGCGAACCTGGTGTACATTATGTGTGCGCCAGGAGCGCTCTAGATTTTGATGACACGCCACTGAGTATTGCCAATTTAAACAAAACAGTATAACTTTGATTTAAGTGCACACTTTATCTCATTTTATAGAAAAGTTTTATATTCACGCCAGGACGTAAACGCTTATGAATATCTGAATGCTCCAGAGTATTTGTTATTCTGCGGTAAATCCATATTTTTGTTGTGTCAGGTACCTCTGCTATTACACAGATGGGATGCATTGAAAAAATACACTTTCCTTCAGCACGGTAGTCTGAAGACGGTTTGTGTTAAAACGATGCTGAAGGCGGACCTGGCTGCCCAGGTTATGCACACATGTTTGTCATTAAGATATATCTGACAAAACTCGATCACTGCCCAAATACATTATCCCAAAGTTCATCTTCTTCTTGCTGGATCCGATTATTCATTAGCCTCATGGATGAGCGATAACTAGTAGGTAAAAAAAAGAGCACTTATGTTTGATATCTAAATACGTTGCCAGCTTTTGATCCCTGCACAAACAGATCGTTCTCGTTCTGTGACTTTTTCTGGCATATCAGGTTGTTCATTAGTTTTTCAAATTACTCGATAAATAGTCGGTCTTAGTGCATTAATGAGAAGAACGCTCTAAGGAAAGCAGACTTTTCACCGGTGTGTTATTTTCAAAAACATAAATCATTGTTTTTGTATGGAGGCGCATTCACCCACCCATCAGAACTGTTCTTAATTAAAACAGCCTATTAAAATTTTGTGTTTGAATGGAAAGGATATCTAAATTTACGACTAAGATAAAAATTTGAGCCATCAAGGATCATCAAAGGGCGAAAGGGCGATCATCTTCTGGAATCATCCTTAGCGGAGTAGCCTGAAAAACTTTATTACTTTTCTTTTTTTTTCAAATGGCAGCGCAACATAGTTTTTTTTATTCTAAGACAAAGCTGTCTTGTTAGACACTGATATATTAAAATGCAAACAGTTCTAAATTTAACCGACATTCGAAAAAACTATTTTGTGTCCCTTTTGCTGCAAGGTAGACTCGGGGCTTAATTGCATTTAACACAACCTGATGCCCACTCCAAACTTGCTTCATAAAACCGGTGCAGTCTTCTATGCGTGCATCTTACAGTATATTATCGAGAGAGAGAACGGCACCCAAGATGTGTCGCGTTTCTTGATCTACAAAC